CTCTTGGGACCTCAGTCACCGCCTCTGAACGGGGTGATGTGGCCCAAGCTAGGTATTCCTCAGATGAAAGAAGTGGTACTATTATAATTACTGCAGTACCATCCTGCTGCAAATGGGCTGCTTGTGCTCCGTTACCTACCACAGATTTAATCCGGGAGCATAACAGTCTTCTCCCTGTGTTTTTCACAGCGCGGCTCTTCAGAGGAAGGCCCTTTGTTCCCAGCTAGGACGATAAATGGGTTTTAGCTGTGTTTTCTCAGAGGGAAGCTTATGTGATTGTGCTGTCTGTCATCTGTCTACGCCGATAAGTTTTTAACTGCCACAGCCAATTATAATTATTTCCAAAGGAAAAAATCGCTAGAGGCAGACATCTCCACGATAATTATATTTCTATGGATTTTGTGAAAGACAGCAGCAGACTTGGTTGGGGCTAGGGAGGAGAAGGGAGAGGACAGAGCGCGAGACCACACGGAGAGCGCTGCCATGTCCAGGAAACCTGGGAGGCCTCGGCCGATCCTCAGCCCACCCCGGCCGAAGGCAGCCAGTCAGTCCGCAGGCACCGAGAGGCAGTCGGCACGGGCATCTCTCCGAAGGGCTCACGGGACGTGCCGCCTCTTGCCCGTGGGTGTTATTTCATAGGGGACATCGCTGCGGCCGCAGCTGCCGCGGCGCAGAGGGGGAGCAGGCACAGACCTCCTTTCTGACGGCTGTAACGGAGGGAAAAGATTTTGTTGTTTGGATGCCGGCAGCGGCACTATTTTGCCCTGGGCCTGTACTTGCAGGTTGCAAAGCTTGGATGGTGGCTGGGCTGGGCTGGGCTGGTAGGGGCCTCCAGAGAGGAGGGACTGGCTAAGTGCAAGGCATGGCTACGATACGCTCCATGTTGTAACTAACCGAACATAACAACGGGCACCTTGCTAACAAATACTTGCAACGTGGGGGGCAACGTGTTCTCGCTGCTCAGAGACCTGCCAATACACTAACGAAAGCGGCTATGGCCAGGTTTCTAAATGTACTTAGGTGACTGAGCCAAGATATTTGCGAGCCTAATTCTCAAAAGGGATTCTGACTTATACTGCATGGGAAGTCGTATTTTTACACAGCTTTGAAGCTGTGAACCTTTCTTCTTAAATATTTTAGAACTGACCCTCTCTCTGAGCGAATCTTGACTGAGATGAGAGGTTTCTGGAACTGCCCTTGAGAACCGAGTAGAAAGTGACAGTTTTTGCTTAACTGAACCATCCCCTGGAATCAAACCTATTGTTTCACCATTACGGAACTTTCTTGGATGGGGCACAATGCCTCGGGTGAAAGCAGATCACCATCTTCACCCCCTAAATACCATAACATATAATTTCTATAAGCTGGCTGATAACCCGATCCAGTTCTCCCGGACTCGTTTAAGTGGAGAGCATCCGCAGCCACCCGGCTGTCTCAGGCAGCGGCCCGTAGTGGGTGCTCAGTGACCTCAACGGCAAACCTCCCGCGCTCAGGAGCCCTCGTGGCAGGAGTGCGTTTCACAGGCCGAGTTTTCACTCACGAAAGGGATGAGTTGCCTGATGGTTCCCACCAGCTACAGCGGCAGGGGAATAGAGAACGCAAAATAAAAACAGAAATGAAAAAAAAAAAATGCATCCAAATACAGAACACGAGTAGAAAGAGGGTAAGTGAGGAAAGGGAGGGGGAAGCGTGAGAGAAACACTATTTCCCTAAAATAGATAGTTTTGAAATGGAGGAACTATGACTGCATTTTAGCCCTATCAAACCACTGTGAAAGGTTAGCACTTTTTCACAGCACTGCTTTTTTTTTGACTACGTCTCCAGCAACTATTACTCAAAGTTCATTCAGGCTTTGGTCTTTGGGAACTTTTTTAATGTGCTAGTGCTTAGAAGTCCATTAATATTTACAAATGTCACTTGAATCCCATTTTTAGCCTCTTGCCCAGGCAGGATCTCTCATAAGAAGAAAACGTTGTTGCTTTTCTTTTCCTTTTTTTTTTTTTTTTTTTAGAACTACAGTAAGTTCAGGGTTGAGCCTGTTCTAAAAATGTCATATTCTATAGAGCTGGGATGTACAGCTTTGGTAGCCTGCCTATGCCCCCGAGACAGGTCTGAAAGTTAGATCTTAGGCCTGGAAAAATGGATAGAGAGTCTATTCTCAGCTCTGCCACTGGCTAGTTATGCAACCTTAGTCAGTTCATTTAACCTTGGCATGCCTCGGTTTCCAGATCAAAAAAGAAAGGGATAACAGGCTCCTTCGCGAATGCTTTGCGGTGCTTGAGGGAGAACAAGGTATTACCCGTTACGTTGCTGCCGTGCTGCGACTTCTGGGTACGGATGGTTTCTGTGAGGGCTACGATATGTACGTCGAGTGAGTCCAGGAACGTGGATTGGCCACTGCATTTCTTGCTGAGGGAGACAGCTCTCACAGTCAGTTTGACAGATCACAGCTACAGGAACTCTCTGCTTTAGGCATGCAGGCTTTTATGTCACTCTTCAGCACCTTCCTGCCAGCCATGGCAGTCGCTGCCTCCTGTGCGTTGGCTTGGGGATGTGATTCACGCCTGCTGCAACTTCACTTTTGCTGACCACAAATAATGATCAATAGCGCTTCAAAGAGCAGTAAACCAGTATAAAATGGCAGATCAGTGCCTAACAGTGGTAATAAAATAGTTGCCTAATTTAAAGACCCCAAAGCGTGCCTTGGAAGTCATAAATGAGGGACTCATGCACAGTTTTCAAAATATATGACCTATTGCTTTTGGAGCACTTAGACCCCAATATGCAAGGCAGAGATGGGTCTGTCCTTTTCACAGCTTCCGAGACGTGTTTCTGTGCAAGCTTCTAGAGCGTGCATGCCCTGGGTGAAGGGAGACACGCAGTACTGCAGGGCAAAAAGAGAGGGAAATGGTCACAGTGATGTTCGAAAAAGTGGTTAAAAGCACGCAGCTATTACAGCAGGGTTTCCTTTGCATATCTGTCTCAGAAAGGAAAGCAGAACCTTTCTCTCAGTAGGAATCAGAAGCATCAGAACTGCCTTGCGCTGCACAGTCCTGCTTCCTGAAACCATCAGCAAGCAGAGGCACTGCAGAGCTTTCTCAGCAGCACAAGGCAGAGCATTACAAGGCAAAGTATTGCAGATGCACACCTAGCTAGATGGCACAGCCACCTCTGAACAAACCAGGGAAACTGCATGCACACGGAGTTATCTTTCGGGGATTTGTGAAACCCGTTTCAGTAGTACAGGAGACAGCGCCTGACACGCAGCAACACTCTCTCACGCAAGACTCCTGGCTGTATAAGATTTCTCATGTGCGCTGTTTTGCTTTTAGGCTTAGTGTGGGCGTGTTACGTGCTACCTTAGCAACAGTGACAAATGCGTGCCGCAGCTGTAGCCTTCTCCTCTTTGCAGCAGCAGAGCACCCCCAGTTTCCTTGCAGACAACAAGCTGTGCAGCTCTCCAGGGAGCTGACCCTGTCCCCTCCACGGAGCTGACCCTGTCGCCCAGCGCCGCAAGCTCTCAGTGCGCTGGCACTCAGTCTGGGCACAGATGCGTGAGCTGCAACTGAAGCAGACGTGTCTTCCCTACTGCCCTCCGCTCCAGCGCGTTTCTTCTGGCCTCCAGAGAACATCATCTGAATCAGCCTGGCAGGAGCAGGATCAGCCGCTTCATGCCAGCCCCCTCCGTCGTTTTTGGAGTCAGATGGCTCCCACTGCTCAAGGCTTTTCGCTGAACTTGAATGCTGGAGGGGTGTCCGAGTGCTTTGTAAATACACAGAGAAAACAAATGCAGTAGTCAAGGCATCGGTATCCATTAATCACTTAAGGAGGGCTGAGGAAGGATTTAAGAGAAGTCTCACGAAGTGGGGGTGTGGGGGGAAGAACCACCCAAGCCAATATTCATGTTGCAACTAAAAAAAAAAAAATAAATGTAGTAAAACCATGTGAGACATAAAAAATATGGAAATTCAGTTTCTCGCAGAATTTTGATTCTGCCCTGGGTTTCATCCTCTGTTGAACTTTGGGACTTGTAAAAACATGTTTTATATATATATATATATATATGTAGATGCACGTACATCTGTGTGTGTGTTCCCCAAATATATTTAACAGTCCTTTTTTTAATGCTTCACCAACACATGCCTGAGAACAAAGTATGCATTTAGGGTGCAAGTATTTATAGATCCAAAATTCTGAGACAATTCTACCATTAAAAAAAAAGTCCTAAAGAGGGCTACTTCTGGAGAAAAACAAACAAGCATTTGTTGGAACATTGCTGAAATCGTCAAATGCGTATTACTCCCGAGGTAGGAAGGAGGAAAAGAGGGCATTTATCCTTTCAATTGCAGGGCAACAACAGATCGCTTACATATTCTTCTGTGTTTTGTGCTGTCTTTAAGAACTTTGGGCTTCCGTTGTACGTAGAGTGCTGCCAGCCCGATAACCCACCAGCAGGCCAAGCGCCGGGGCCGGCTGTTGGCAGGCGGGGGGCCGAGGCCCCGCAGCCTCCCGCGGCCGCTGAGAGCCGGGCCCGGCAGCGGGACGGCGCCGCCGGCCGCCCCAGGCCCTGGGAGGGGTTTTCCCGGGCAGGGCCAGACTTTCCACGGGGCTTTTAACGACCGGAGGCGCCTCTGTTCCCCGCCCCGGGTTATTCACCAGCGCAACGTCAGGTGATTAACGGGAAAGGGAGGAGTAAACCGAAGGCCCCCCCGCCCGCCCCCCCCCCCGCCGCGGGGCCGCGGCCCCTCCCGCCCCCGGGTCGGGCAGGGGGGGCGAAGGGCGGTGGGTGTGTTTAAGCGCTGCGGGCGTGAGGCGATACCCCCCTGCAGGGAGCCGTGACCGCCGTCAAACCAGATGCGGCCACGGGGGAGCGGAGCGGGAGCCGCCCTGCCAGCGCTTCCCCTTTCGCTGGACTCGGCGCCTTCCCCCTCGCCGCTCCGGCCATGTTAGTCAGCCATTTTACTCAGCCGTTACGGCAACCACCGCCTTCGGCTCTGTGCATGCCGAGAAAAACAAGCGCCATGACCTGAGAGCTCAAGCGGTCACGGAAAATATACCCCGAAAATTACTTAAAACGCGAGCTTTGTTGAGGCTAGTCCCGCGGGCTGTCTCGGTCTCCCCGGGAGAGCGCAGGGAGCGGG